AAGAGTGAAAAATTTAAGGGGGTCTGAATACTTTCCGTACCCACTGTATATATATATATATATATATATTTATCTCTCCATGTATATGCATCTTTGGACTATAAGCCCTTATTGACGCTGTTCAGTGAATCTATGTGAACACAAATAAACCGCTGCAGACGTGACTGAATATGAATGCATGGTGAATTTCTATTCTAAAGATGACACATATGGATTTATTATTTTGCACTCCTGACATAAATTACTAAATTACGGTCACTGCAACGTTTTATCAAAACAGTGGTCAAATATCGAAGCTAGAGTCTTTAATCTTTCTACTGATGCACAGTTTGTCCAGATCAGTTAAAGTGAAACAACAATAATCCGGGGCCGTCGCCGATCTTCGACAGCTAAGGGGTTAAGGTTTCCTTTTTCAGTGAAACTCGTTCCACACTGTTGGCAGGTAAATATCTTCTCACTGGAGTGAATTCTCATGTGGCCTTCAAGGTGTCCTATTTCATTGAAGCTCTTGCCACACTGTTTACAGGTGAAAGGCTTCTCGCCAGTGTGAATTCTTATGTGGACTTAAAGCCTTTCATTTTGTCTGAAACACTTTCCACACTGAGTGCATGCATAAGACTTCTCTCCAGTGTGAATTTGTACAGTGAGGGAAACAATTATTTGATCACCTGCTGATTTTGTGCATTTGCCCACTGACAAAGAAATTATCAGTCTATAATTTTAATGGCAGGTTTATTCGAACAGTGAGAGACAGAATAAAATCAACAACAAAAAATCCAGAAAAACGCATTTCAAAAAAGTTATAAATTGATTTGCAACTCGAACCTTCAGCTCCCTCCACAGATTTCCTATGGGATTAAGGTCTGGAGACTGGCTAGGCCACTCCAGGACCTTAATGTGCTTCTTCGTGAGACACTCCTTTGTTGCCTTGGCCATGTGTTTTGGGTCATTGTCATGCTGGAATACCCATCCACGACCCATTTTCAATGCCCTGGCTGGCTTCAACGCCCTGGTCCTGACGGTACATGGCCCCGTCCATCGTCCCTTTGATGTGGTGCAGTTGCCCTGTCCCCTTAGCAGAAAAACACCCCAAAGCATAATGTTTCCACCTCCATGTTTGATGGTGGGGATGGTGTTCTTGGGGTCATAGGCAGCATTCCTCTTCCTCCAAACACGGCGAGTTGAGTTGATGCCAAATAGCTTGATTTTGGTTTCATCTGACCACAACACTTTCACCCAGTTCTCCTCTGAATCATTCAGATGTTCATAGGCAAACTTCAGATGGGCTTGTACATGTGCTTACTTGAGCAGGGGGACCTTGCGGGTGCTGCAGGATTTCAGTCCTTCAAGGTGTAGTGCGTTACCAATTGTTTTCTTGGTGACTATGGTCCCAGCTGCCTTGAGATCATTGACAGGATCCTCCCGTATAGTTCTGGGCTGATTCCTCACCGTTCTCATGATCATTGAAACTCCACGAGGTGAGATCTTGCATGGAGCCCCAGACTGAGGGAGACTGACAGTTATTTTGTGTTTCTTCCATTTGCGAATAATCGCACCAACTGTTGTCACCTTCTCACCAAGCTGCTTGACGATGGTCTTGTAGCCCATTCCAGCATTGTGTAGGTCTACAGTCTTGTCCCTGACATCCTTGGACAGCTCTTTGGTCTTAGCTATGGTGGAGAGTTTGGGATCTGATTGATTGATTGCTTGCTTCTGTGGACAGGTGTCTTTTTTACAGGTAACAAACTGAGATTAGGAGCACTCCCTTTAAGAGAGTGCTCCTAATCTCAGCTCGTTACCTGTATGAAAGACACCTGGGAGCCAGAAATCTTGCTGATTGATAGGGGATCAAATACTTATTTCACTCATTAAAATGCAAATCAAATTATAACTTTTTTGAAATGCGTTTTTCTGGATTTTTTTGTTGTTATTCTGTCACTCACTGTTAAAATGAACCTACCATTAAAATTATAGACTGATCATTTTTTTTTGTCATTGGGCAAACATACAAAATCAGCAGGGGATCAAAAAAATTTTCCCCTCACTGTACGTGCTTTTTAAGGTTTCCTTTATGGGTAAAAATCTTTCCACAGTGTTTGCAAATGAAAGGTTTCTCTCCAGTGTGAATTCTCATGTGTCTTTTAAGGGTTTCATTTTGAGTAAACATTTTTCCACAGTGTTTGCAGGAGAAACCTCTAGTTCCTGTCTTCTGAGCTCTTTTTCGTGTAGAAGTCTTTTTTAGTCTGTGAACAGCTAAACTATTTTTCTTCCGTTATGAAATCAGGATTTTCTCAACCAGGTACTTGTCTTCATTTTCATTCAGTTCTTGACTCTCCTCTATCAGCACCTTCAGGTCTAAGGTGAATAAAAACGATGCTTTGAATTTACGTGGTCAATGAATGACATCACTTCGGGAGCTGACTAACAAAATAGCTACAAAAGTAAAAGCGGAGAACTTTGTATCCAAAGTTAAGAAGCAAACACACTAGAACGTAGTGATCGTGTCTTTCTGCTCCACTTGATTTGTGTAAATATGTCATATTTAAGGTAACAATGCAATACATAATATCATATTATTGATATTAATAATATGACAATATCTGTAGTCAATATTGATTAAATGGGAGGGAGAAATCCTGCCCATACCCAGCTAGGAAAAAATGATAAAAGCACTTACTTAAGTGGTATTCTGAAACTGATTACAACAACATCTTCATCAAACAAAAAAAGATTACCTTAGATAAAGTTTGATTAACATGTACATACAGTACCAGTCAAATGTTTGGACCCATTACTATTTCTTAATGTTTTTGAAAGAAATTTATTATGCTCATCAAGCCTGCATTTATTTGATCAAAACAAAAAAAAAACAATAATATTCAGAAAGGATGTTAATTAGGTAAAAAGTGATAGTGAAGACTTATATTGTTATAAAAGATTTTTAATAATTAAAAAATCCAGAAACAAAATACACATTAAGCACTGTTTCTAGCATTGTTAATAAATCAGCATATTAGAATGATTTATGTAGGATCATGTGACACTGAGTAATGATGCTGAAAATTCAGCTGCGCATCACAGAAATATATTTTAAAGTATAGTAAAATAGAAAACCATTATTTTAAATTGTAATAATATTTCACAATATTATTGATTATTTTCTGTATTTTTCATCAAATAGGCTAAATCCAGGCTTGATGAGCATAAGAGACTTCTTTCAAAAACATTTTAAATAGTAATGTTTCCAAACTTTTGTCCTGTATAAATAAAAACATACAAAATCTAAATTTAATTGTTGTATAAATAAAAAGGTTAGGAATCATATTTGTTTCAAGGGGGTGGGGGGGCTCCAACATGAATTTTGCCTAGGGCCTCCTAATGTCTAGAACCGGCCCTGGCCTACACTCCAGGTCAAATAAAAGCCAGAATTAGGAAAATCATATGACATTCTTCAGAAACATCATTCATTTCTGTAGAGCTGTACTGTGAATAAGAATCAATTGACTGAGTTCAGCTTTGAGAAAGACACCAACCTGTTTGTTCCTCAGTATCTTCATGTTTGATGCTGAATACTTCTGCAATCCTAATGTCTTCACTCTCCTCTTTAATAAACGCCATCTGTATAATAGTGTGTCACGTGGATGTTTTTCTGTGAGTTTGGACAAGATGAGAATAATTAACAGAAAGAAAATAAATCCAAATGTGTTACACGTGTGCAGATGCACTTTGCTTAAAAAAAAGAAAAATAAACGTTCAAAAATGTTATACAAAGCATTACAATGTTACATTCAGTAATAAAACATTCATTTAAGAGTTCTCGTTAGAAGCATAAAATTGCCTGAACAGTTTGGAACACTTCAAAAGCTCAAAACACAAACCTTTCTTCAGCCAAATCACAAAAGAGCAAGAGCCAGGCACAGCCTTATGATGTCATATCTCCCCTCCAAAATAAAAGTCCCATTCTCACACTAAAATCAGACATATTCAAATACAAATAATAAAACATATCAACAATGTTCAGAGTTAAATTCTTGCTGAAATACATATTTAAATTTTTGTTGTTGAATGAAAATAATCGATGAGATTCTGTAAATGGTTACACAATTATGTTTTATTAGATTTTTTTTAGAAAGAGATTTATCAATCTTTAATTCAACAAACATTTGTCCATATAATTCAACTTTTTTTATAGGGCCACAAACTCAAAAAAAAAAGAAAATCAGCAAAATAGTGGGGGCAAAGAATAATTAGTAGGCAGGACACCAAATAGACCAATGATAGAAGAGGGTTGAGTATTAAACGAGGAAATAGCTGAAAGAGAATTGAAAACAGACAACCAAAATGAGGAGAGGGCAGGGCAGGAGCAAAACATGTGTATTATCTTCAGTATCATCTTCTGGTGCTGCCGTGAGTGACATTTATTATCATTTATCCTATGGATAAGGATTTTTTAAATGTTTTTGATTATCATTTATCCTATGGATATGGATTCTCACACACCAAAACTCATTTATTTGAGAAATCAACTGCTTGCACTGAAAACAAAGTCCCATGCCTGTGTGATTCCCCATTTACCTGATGAGGTGATGGTAAAACATTTTTAAAAACGTTATCAACTGGCAAAAGCCTTATTATGTCAAATCTCCCCTCCAAAATAAAAGTCCCGTTCACGCTAAAATCAGAAATGATAATTACATGCAAATAATAAAACATATCAACGATGTTCAAGGTGGTGTAATCATGGGAATGTGAGCATCAAAATATCCAGCTGCTACAGAGACATTGAACTTCTGGCCGTAAGTTTGCACCCCTATTACTTGATGTTACGACCCAAAACCAACTTCAGCTCGTTAAATCTAATCAGAGAGGCAAGGACCGAACATATAAGAAAATCACAGATGACTGAATGAAGCTGTGATGACTATTTATGCCATAAGAATGAATCCAAATGCAAAACGAACAAACAGACAAAATGTTATCCACAAATATACTATAATGAACAAAAGATTAACACAAATAATAACAGTTAACAGATAATGCTGCTAGGAAAAGAGAAAACCTTGACTACACCTAACCACCTAGAGAGATCTTACCTAGCTCCCGGGGAAAATAAAGTAGGCGAGTCTTGTGGGCCACTGCTTACCTCGCTAGATCTAACTAAATAACAAAACGTGAACTAAGAAAAATTAATCCACAACCTGCTACTGAAAAGACAAGCAAATATATATAAAATAGATGTCGAAAATTAATTAGTTAAAAAGTAAAAAACTAAAAAAACTAAAACAAAAAAAAAAACAATTAAAAATCAGAAAACAGGATCACTCCTGCAAGGAGAAGAGAGGAGATGAGCGATCTCGCCATGAGGCGAGAGACCCAAACAAACAGCGAAAGACGTCATCAAAGTTTATATAGTAGAAAATCCAGATGACGTCATTCCACTTTTGAGGATCAGGGAAATCCCTCCTCCCGATTCCACCTACAGGCTGAAATAAATAAATCACTCACGGGGAAATTTCTCTACCTGCATACCCACGTTACACTTGCCCAGAGAGTTCAGACACGCCATTGTTGTCATTGTTTACATCCGTCCACACGCCGATGTGGAGGTAGCATGTGACGTCATCTATTCTGATGTTGCAAAGTTACAAACACAGCACCCCGAAGCGCTTGTGTTAAAGGGTTAGTTCAGCCAAAAATGAAAATTAGGCTGTTTTACTCACCTCCGATGCATCCTAGGTGTATATGACTTTCTTCTTTCAGACGAATCCAGAGTTGGAATAATCACTTGAATCTAGCTTGCGCTCACTGTTGTACACGGAAGCAGTTCCGGGAGCATGACGTATGAGGTCAGCGTTGCGCATGCGCCGCTCAGAAGTGAAATATACTCTCCGCACGCGGAGAGACCGAAACAAAACAACGGTCACTAATTTGAAGTACAAAACGAGGATTTGTAAAGAATGTGGGAGGATTTCGATATAAGCCAAGAGGAGACTTATTTTCCTTTGCTAAAGTAAGGAAACTTTGCTTCTTTTGATCCTGTAAACAAACGCTGGTTTTCACGAGACTCACCGGCGCATGCGCAACGCTGAACTCATACGTCATGCTCCC